ATTCTAAAGTGGGGTATGAACTTTGATTAATTTTTTAAAAAATCTTTGCTTTTCTGTGTATTGTCAATCAAAAACTTTGGCTGTGAGCAGATTCTCTGAAACCACATCTGTGGGTAGATTCACAATACACAGACAGGAAAAAATATTTTAAAAAATGTAATTGAAGTGGTTCATTGCATCAACAACAATCTAGCAGACATAAAAATTAATTTCACTCCCCCTGACCCTCTGCAAACAATCAGGGGAAGCATCTAATTGACAGCAGAGTGAGCTGAAGGTTGATATGCCATTTGGATGGGAGACTGGAGAGCACGTCAAATGGAACATCACTTCTCCCTATGGATTCAGCTAACCCTATGTAACCTAATCTAGCCCGCACCTGTCTGGACAGGCCCTTATTTAGGGCTTTATAAGTAAAAAACAGGAGTTTGAATTGCACCTGTAAATGGACCAGTAATCAGTGGAGATGATGTAACAGAGAATTATGTGGTCATTGGTGTAAGCACACAGCTCTCCTAAGAGAATTCTGCGGCTGGAACAGAGAGGTTCCAGGGTCCAGTGTACTATAATAGCTGCAATGAGTCCTTTTCACAGCCAGGCCATCCCACTGATACCCTTTTCCCAAGTCTGTTCCCAATTAGCAATTAACTGAGAAAACCAAAGATAAAAACCATGAGTCTTAGAGTCTGCCAAGACTAGCAAAACTCAGATAATTAACGGACTCAAGTAGCATACTTGTGGCGTAAAAAGGAAAAATAATTATGCGGGTTATCTGCTCAAGAGACCAAACATAAGTTTTTAAGGATTACTGTAATGTTTTATTAGAAAAATAAAGAATTTAGTGATATTCAGTTTGTTACAAAGCGTAGCATTCAAGTACATTTCCATAAACTAAGGTAGTTAGAACTTTAGCAAATTCCAGTTACAAAAATAAAATAAGAAAACTCTAATAATAGCTAAAAAGTTGGGTAAGGCTGAGCCCCCCTTCCTCTGTTCTTTGCTATGAACTACATCCTAGCAGTTTACTAAAAAATAGCAATGGGAACTCCAAAGTCCATTCAAAAATCCAAAATCCAAAGTAAAATCCAAAAATCCAAAAAGTTCTCTCTCTGTCACCATCCTGCCATTTTTCTTCCCATGCTGGAACCACCTTCTTCACTATCCACTGACATAAGCCAATCAGGACGAAGCAGTGTCTCACCCCTCTCCATCTCCTTTTCTCACGGGATGTGCAGGTGTTGACATTCTTCCTGATGTTGTGTCTTGGCTCCACATGGAAAATTCCAACTAACTCTAAGAGAAAACAGCTTCTCGAAGCATCTAGTTAAGCTAACACAGACCAAGATGGATTCCTTCTACACAATTCCACGACTACAAATCCCATTTAGAAATTACATTCTAGCTTCAATAATCCAAATCATGACAATTGGAACCAACTTGAGTTTACAATCTGGCCAGGAGCATTTTGGACCCACTCAAGTTTTCAAACACTCCGAAAGCAGATTCATATATAGAGCGTGTTACAGTAATTTTAATGGGGTGTAAGTAAGGCATCTCCCCAAACAGGTATAGCTAGCACACTACCACACAGCTATCTGGACTTTCAGGCTCAGTGACAAAACCAGGGCTACACCCAAGCTGCTAACCTGTGTTTTCAGAGGGAGTGTAACACCATCCACCACAGACTGAATCTGTGTTCCGTGATATGCCTTTCAACTGACAGAAGCACCTCTGTCTTGCTTGGATTAAACTTGTTTATTCACCATCATCCAGTCCATTAGTAACTTAGACACCAATTTAGAACTGGAAAGCTTCCTCAGAAGAGAGAGACAGAGTTACAGTAGGTGTCATCTGTGTATTGATGACACCAAACTTTCAAACCTTCAACAATGTCTCTCAACTGTATCATGTATATGTTAGTATGGGGGACAAAACAAAATCCTGAGGATGCCACAAGCCAATGGCCAGGGCATTGAACAGAGGTCCCCAGATACAAGAATCTTCTAAGTTCTCCCCTCCAGAAAAAAGAGAGCCACTATAAAACAATGCCTCCAAGTTTCATCCCAGAGAGACAGCTCAGAAGAATATAATGCTGGTTCAAAAGAACCAACAGGGACACACTCGTGTGTCTAGTTCCCAGCATAGGTGACCAGTTGTCTCTTGTCCTATAACCAGACCTGAAAGCAAAATTGAAATGGATCTAGCTTGTCCAGGAACCCTTGGAGCTGAGAAGCCATGACTCACTCCAATATCATCAAGAAATCTACTTCAAAAATGCAGGACAAAGTGTTCATAGACACCAGGTTGCCTACCTGAGAACCAATATATCTAGAAATGAAACATTTGAGGCTGGCCTGTAATTATCTAAGACCATGTGACTTAAGGAGGACTTTTTTAGCAACAGTCTTACTGTTGTCTGCTTAAGCACATTGCAGTCTTGCTGTGCTGCATTCTTCCTACCCACTCAGCTAGTCTTCCCTCACCTTGGCTTTCATAATTAAGTTACACTCCTAAATATTTACAAAAAAATAATAATTTGCCTATCTATAACAGCATCGACACTTTAATTTTTAAACATAATATTTGGAAGAAGAGTGTTAAGTTTAGAAATAAAAAAGTAACTTCTACAGCTAGTACTCTTCTAGCTCTCTTCCTAGCATGTAGCTTACTGCATGTGGCTTACTTACTAGGGTATCCTTAAGTGGGGGGAGGAATCCCCTTTGAGGCGTGTCTTTGCCGCTTCCCCGGTTGCCATGCGACATTACAAGGCTGTTCGTGAGAACAGGCAGGGGTGTGGGGGGAAAAGAGAGGGCATTTAAGGGCATGCACTCTATTGTCTTCTTCCATGTTTATTTGGCAGATCACCCGCCCGTCCAATATTCTCGTGTGAGATTAGCTGGTCGCCCAAGAGGGAAATCCAAATCCACACTACACCACACTACCAAACTACCCTTTGCCAAAGGATTGGCAATGTTCACGAGAACGGAATGGACTTTAATAAAGTGTGGCCCGTGTTTAACCCATACATGGTCTCGCATGGTTATTCCGGGGTAAGAGGGCAATGGAATCTGATTGCTCTCTCCCTTCACTTAGGACTAACAGTTTACCACAGGTCTCCCTAACACTCGTTTTGCTCTCTTCAACCATGAAGCCTTTTTTGCTTCCTTATTGCTTGTTCATGTATCCCCAACTCTATCCACACTGGGAAATTTTAAATATTCTTGTGTAATCTGTTTTAACTCTCACTTGAGCAATCCTTCAGTCCACAATGGAGATTGTGCTATGTGTCCTCTTCTACCATACTATGGGTCCACCCAGTTTACTAGTAAGCAAGGTTTACCCAGTAAATCTATCCAGTTTACTCACAAGTAAGGAGGCAGTGGCAGCCAAGGATAGTTGCTGTGTGAGGGTAAAGTGCTGGGGTGAAAGTTTTTAGAAGATGGAATGGAAGTAACCTCCCCTTTTCCCACATTACTCTTCAGCTGGTGCTCTGCTGTATTTGCATTTCTTTGTGGAGTGGAGCCCATGGAGTCAGCATAGTTCCCTTCTGTGCTTTTTCTCTCAACCATCAGTTAAGGGGCTGGGGTAACATCCTTTTTTTGTTTGTTTGTTCATTAAATAAAGTATGTGGCCTATTGCAATGGCAGTGTATCAGCCGAGCATGATACTAGAAATTTGCTGTATCAGTTAGAGATTTATTTTTAAGAAAGCAAAAATGGAGGAGGGGATTTCTCAGTCCTCTTTCAATTTCATAACCTAATATGTCATAGGGTTGTCACCACAGTTAACACTGCCTCTGGTACCATTTTAGTAAATGGTACACATCCACACAAGCTAAAAAAAATCTATTTTGGAATGCTCTGAATTGTCCCAAAAAGAATGCATTCCCTAGCCCTGCCAGAAGGGCAGCAACCCTTAAAGGGGAATAATGGATCATTCTAAGTAGAAACAAGTGTGGACATGTTTTTTCCCCAGTCCAAACCATTCTACCAGTGATCCATATATTGATCTATATGCCATTGTGGACATAGTCTGTGTCTCCTTATTTCCTCCTCCCACTATGTCTGGTCTTTCACAGCTCTTACCAGGTTGCCTTTCTGCTATTATAAAGTACCCCCCCTCCTCTGCACACCTTTAGGAGACAGTGATAGCTGATATCCTTCTCCTCCCCTTCTTCTTTCAGGCAATTGTGAGTACTTCAGAAGTTGAAGTTGTGGCTTGTACCTGCCCATCATCTTTACTTCCTAAATCTCAGGGAAATAAAAGATGGTACAGTGGTGCCTTGCTTAGCGATGTTAATCCGTGCAGCAAAAATCGCTGCTATGCGATTTCATCGCTAAGCGATTTTTAAAAGCCCGTAGAAACGCATTAAAACTCATTGAATGGGCTTAAAAACTCACTTTATGCGAAAATCCTCCATAGGGGCGGCCATTTTCGGTGCCTCTAAAGCAAGGCAAAACAGCGGGCGGACATTTTGGAACCATCGATTAGCTGTGTGAAAATGGGGACTTTGCGATGATCGCTTCCCCACGATCATCGCAAAGCAAATTTTCCCCATAGGGGCCATCGCAAAGCGATCGCTCTTGTGATGGCAAAAAGTCCATTGCAAAGCGATTTCATCGCCTAAAATGGAGCGATCGCTATGCGAGGCACCACTGTACATGATTGAAAATAAGTGCTTCCTTTGGAAGTAGTCTCATCTATCCAGAAAACAAGTTTAAAACTAAAAAACACAAACCACAATAATCAGAAATCTACTTCATGGGTGCACAGCAAGGTGTTCATGGACATTAGGTTGCTCAGTATATATTGGTTAATGCAATATTCATTGAGAAGTGTGTAGTCAAAAGATGGGTGAATGAATTAGTCACACATGCAAGGGACTGGAGAAATGCAATTTGTTCTGTGTGTTCTCTGTTCATTGAATAGAATGATGAGAGTGAAACTGAAGTGTATAGTAGGAAAATAATGTACCAGGTGTCATATCAATTTGATTTCAGGAATCAAAGGAGAAATGGGAGTTATGGGGACTCCTGGATTCCAAGGTCCTCCTGGCCCTATAGGTGCTCCTGGACTTCCAGGTGAAAAAGGTAAGAATTGTTTATAGATGAACACTACATGAAATTAGGTGTATTATTTAATTCAACCATTTTACAGCCTGTAGGTTTCTTGTTGTTCTTTAATCGTTTAGTCGTGTCTGACTGCGTGACCCCATGGACCAGAGAACGCCAGGCCCTCCTGTCTTCCACTGCCTTCCAGAGTTGGGCCAAATTCATGTTGTTAGCTTCGATGACACTGTCTAACCATCTCATCCTCTGTCGTCCCCTTCTCCTCTTGCCCTCACACTATCCCAACAACTCTGTCTTTTCCAGGGAGTCTTCTCCTCTCATGAGATGGCCAAAGTATTAGAGCCTCAGCTTCAGGATCTGTCCTTCCAGTGAGCACTCAGGATTGATTTCCTTTAGAATGGATAGGTTTGTTCTCCTTGCAGTCCAGGGGTTTCTTAGCTTGCTACAAGTGAGATTTTATTAGAAGTAGGAACAGCAGTCCTGACTCATAATGTTCTCCTGAAATTCTGGTATTTATGCTGCATGTTTCTTTTAGGCAGCTCGGGACTTTCTGGAGTGTCAGGTCTCAAGGGTGAACCTGGTTTAAAAGGTGAGAAGGGTGAGGCCGGTTTACCAGGAGAACCAGGATCCATGGATCGTGTAGACATGGAACACCTGAAAGGTCAAAAGGGAGATCAGGGAAGTAAAGGTATGTAAAATTAGATAACATCTGCATCATACATGACATCTGTTGTATTTTTATGGTGAACACATCTCATCCAAAACAGTAGTTGTAATGTGCTTAATGTTAGTGTGCTTAAGTTTATTTTATTTTTATTTATTTGATTTATACCCCACCCATCTGGTCTAAAAGACCACTCTTTTCCACAGAAAAGTTCCATTTCCATCCTTCAGCTTGTCTTAAAACCTGTCTGGTACTTACAAAGATTCCTGTAAAGTAAAACAAAGCAAAAACCTGAATGAAATGTAAGGGGTCTTGTAAGCATTTAAGAATATGCTAGTTTCCTTCTCTACCATTTACTCTTCCTTCCTCAGTATCCTCAGCATAAACTGGCAGAGATGGAGGGGGGCAGTAGATGATTAGAAAGCCTCACTTGATGAGACTGTTTCCCCAACTCTTGTGCTTGACATTCTTCAGTAATAACATTTTCAGCTTAGGAATCATGTAAGCAGACAATACTGTCCAGTGAGTCTTCCCTGCTGCCAGTCAGCCTCTTTGCCATCACAAAGTTTGAGAGGCTCTGGTTTGTTGGAAGGACTTACTTGAAGCCCAATCCAGTTGTGTACAAGCATGATACCAAATTAAAACAATGTGTGTCACTGTATATTTGGGGAAATCATAGTTTGACACAAATACCTAACTTTTTTCAGTGCCATTTAAGGATAGGCCTTAAATGAAAAACCCCAAACACAGAAGAGGTCTCTTTGGTGATTCATGTTTTCTTTCTTGTTCCCTCTTGCATAACCTTTCAATGCCCTTTCACCCTTTACCTATCAAATGACTTGAGAAATCTTTCATTCATTAATACCACGTCAAGGGATGTTGGCAGCGAATTAGAATGGCCAGGGGGCGTGAGAATTTTGAATTTGTGAAAGCATCTGAAACCTGGTGAGAAGTGCTCTTCATTTCAGTGATTCCTCGTTGGACTACTGTGTGCTGACCCTGTAGTGTCCTTGGATTGCTGCCTTCCTGCTCTTACAGCCTTTCCCTTTCTGCCATTTTTTCCTTGCTCCTGCCAGGCAGCCTGCCTGTGTCAACGTTATTCCTTGGGATTGCAGTATTTTTTTTATTCCCTCTTTGGAGATTTTTTGTCCTGTTCACTTTCCCTTTTTCTTCTTCTATTTTCTTTCTTTCTTTCTTTTTTCTTTTTGTCATTTTCTTTCTTGAATTATTTTTGATGCAGCCTGGCTTGCCTGTTTCTGCCTGCTGGAGTCAAAGATCAGAAGAGAAGACATCAAGTGAAGGAAGGAAGGCAACTCTCCCCATATTCTTGTAGTTTGTGGGGATGGACTTTGATTACATTTTTTACCTTTATTTGTTTGCTTTCTTGTCTTGGTTTTGGAAGAAAGGTTTGGTTTGGTTTGCTATGTTTTCCATGTGCATGGAGGGGGGCCTGCTTTCCTTATTTGAATTTTTAAAACAGTGTTATTTGGTTAATTTTCTTTGTATTAATTCTGTTAAAGGTGTGCATTTTGGTAAGTTTGGAGGGAAGACTTCCCTTTTTACTTCTGTGGGGGGATGGATGGAGACAGGGGTGTATTTTGTGACTTGGCCAGTGTGTGCTGGGTGGTGGTGGCTGCTTGGCCCCAGCTTGGGGCATTTCTCTCTGTTCTTGGTCTTGTCTTGTTGATTGATTTGGTGAGTGGATATTTCTTTGTGCCAAGCAGCTGCAGCCTGGTTGGCTGCCTGCTTCCTTGCCTTTTTTCTCTTGTGCTGTCCAGGCCCGTAGGGCCTATTGTGCTGGGTGGGTGGTAAAAAGGTAAAGGTAAAGGTTCCCCTTGACAATTTTTGTCCAGTCCTGTTCGACTCTGGGGGGTGGTGCTCATCCCCGTTTCCAAGCCATAGAGCCAGCGTTTTTGTCCGAAGACAATCTTCCGTGGTCACATGGCCAGTGCGACTTAGACACGGAATGCTGTTACCTTCCCACCGAGGTGGTCCCTATTGATCTACTTGCATTTGCATGCTTTCAAACCGCTAGGTTGGTGGGAACTGGGACAAGCGACGGGCGCTCACTCCATTGCGTGGATTCGATCTTACGACTGCTAGTCTTCTGACCCTGCAGCACAGGCTTCTGCGGTTTAGCCCACAGCGCCACCACGTCCCTCTAGTGGTGGGTGGTACTGAACTCATTATCTTGTTTTCTCTTTTTTCTTATTTTAAAGGGACTACTTGCATTGTGACTGGATGTGATATGGTATCTCTCAGGAGACCTAGTTTTGATTCCCCACTCAGTCGTGGAAGTTCACTGGTGGGGATGAAACTGCTAAAACCACTCCTTAAATACCCCACTTACCTTGAAAGCTGTATTAGGGTCTTTATGAGTCAGTTTCAACCTGACGGCACATAACAATAGTAGTATTACGTATATATAAAACATGTTAAATTAATAAATATTGACAATATTAGAATTGATAAATAAGTGTTGTGTTTTGGCTCACATAAATGGGCTTCAGCATGTGTTCAGAGAGGTCATTTAGAACATTCTATAGGTCAGCAATTAGGCAGGACAATTGTCCCTACCTTCATCCTGCACATGAACCAGTGTGTCAATACCAATTCCTTCAGTTCATTTTTGCCCACTGCCAAAGCAATATTGTTAGGAGCACTTTGCAATAGCTGAGCTTTGCTTTGTTTTCTTGAAGACCCTTACTTTACTTATTCTGCTTGCTTCTTACCTTTCGTGATTCTTATTTATTTTAGTTTTACATTTGTGGGCTTTGCCCATACTTATGGCCTCTTTACTGATGGGGTAAAATCCTTTTCCCTGCAGATGCCGTTCTAATTTTTAACCCCTGGGAGAGTCTCATCTTTCGATTTTTCCCCCATCTGTAGAGGTTTTACAAAACAGGGCCCTAAACTTGTGGTTAGAGACTTTCTAGAATTCATATTGCTTAGGTGAAACTTTTTCCAGAACACACCAAACATAGAAATTCATAGTAGAAAACTCCCCTTTGTCACAGTGATAATTTCTACCCCTTATAAAATGCATTCCAGAGGAAATATTCCTTGCCAAACATCAATCTGTTGTTGTGTATCCTGGGCAACAAAGCATGGATCAGTGTCAAACACCCCAATTATAGGTATTCCTTGTCTGTAAGATCCTAATCTGTAAGTCTATTTACTAATGACACTACAAAAGGTATTGCAGAGTTTTGAATTTCTAGGGAAAAAATCCTTTTCTTACACAGTAGAAGTACAGAGACTCAGAGATAATAGTTACAGGTTCCCCAGAGTCCTCCTCTTTCTCAAGCATGTAACATTAATGAGTCTTAATAACTCACTCTGAAACATTTGTAGAATAAACAATTTTTAAAACTTTTATTTACTTATAGTTGCTTGAAATTACAGACCTGTGCTATTTTCTTTACTGCAGATTTATTAACAAGCAACTGATCAACAGCAAACAAACAACTGCCACCAACCCAAGAAAGAGAGATAAAGAGCACTCAGCAGAGAGAATAGCTCTCTTTGAATTCAAAGGTTAGAAAGAATGTTTGGTTAGTGCTGGACAGATCTGCAGTCACACAAACTATAGATAGCATGAGGTTACAAATAAAACTCCAACGGAAAATGTACTGAATAAGCAGAAAGACAATGATGACATGAACCAAAATATTTGTGCTTCCAGGACAACAGGGACCAGAAGGAGAAAAGGGAGCTCAAGGGGATCCTGGCACATCAGGAATGCCAGGGAAGGATGGTGAACCTGGATTTCCTGGCACAGCAGGTGTGAAACCCTGGTTTTGTTTCAACAGTAGTTTTCTAAAATTTCTCTCCATCACTACTTACTACTGTTCTGTTTTTATAACACTATTAGGTGCTGAAATGTAGGCAGTCTATTATAGTGCATGCTGATAAGCCATATGGATAGTTATTAATAATTTTCTTTTTTAATGCAGGGCCCAAAGGGGATCCAGGCACTCCAGGATTCCAGGGTGAACCAGGTTATCCTGGACAAAAAGGGCTGACAGGAGAAATGGGTCTGCCAGGTAACTTTAGAACTTGAGTTGTTTGGAAATTTGTAATGGCTGGCTAATCATCCATTTTCAGATTAATTTTGGCACATTTATTTTAGTCTTAAGAAACTGTAACATGAAATGTGACATGTGAACTTTTCCATTTAGGTCCATCAGGAGAAAAAGGTGTGCAGGGTCTTCCAGGTGAGGAAGGTAGACCAGGATTTCCTGGAGCAAAAGGAGTGAAAGGTGAAAAAGGAGACCCTGGATTTCCTGGAATTGGTTTCCCTGGGGTTCCTGGTGAGAAGGTATCAATGATTTTCCATGAACAACATCAGATTACGTATTAAATTTCATTTGCTAAGGCATCTCTTATTAAAAGACATAAGATTTATGTCTTGAAAAGGAAGCTCATGATAGATGGGAGTTTTTCAAATATGAGATACTGAAGGCACAATCACAAACAATTCCTTTCAAAACAAAAGTAGAGAGGATTTAAAGAGACCACAGTGGCCATATTAGGAGATTCAGATAAGCTGAAATGTAAAGGAAGAATGCATAGGAAATGGAAGAGCAGATCATCAGAGAAGAATACTATGATAGCTATCATACCACCTTTTAGTTCAATATTGGAAAGGCTATCACATGAAAAAATGGAGCAAGCTCCAATTTTCCAGAGTAAGAAGAGAGACTCCAATAAAATATTTAAAAGGACTTCCTTCCCTTTCTGAACAAGATATTAGAGCCACTGGTGGTTTCTCAACTCCTGGGATTCCTGTATGAAACATTATCTGGATTCATTTCAATCCAGTTTCAGGCCTGGTTATAGAGCAGACACTGCTTTGGTCACCTTGGTGGATGACCTGTGGCAGGAACTAGACAGATGGAGTATGTCCCTGTTGTTTCTACTGGACTTCTCTGGCTTTTGATACCATATACCATGGTATCCTTCTGAGTTGTCTCTCTGGGCTGAGGCTTGTAAGTACACTTTTACAGTGGCTCTGGTCACTCCTGGAAGAACAAGTTTAGAAGATGGTGCTGGGAGACTTCTGCCTTTTGTCCCCCCATGCTGTTTAATATTTACATGAAACAACGGAGAGAGTTGTCTGGAGTTTTGGATTTTAGCTCCATCTTTTCTTTCCACCTAATTCCAAGGAAGCTGTTCCTGTTCTAAACTTGATGTTGGTGATGAACTGGATGAAAGCAAAGAGACCAAAACTTAATCCAGCTGGTCAATTGAAAAACAGATCAGGAAATATATTCTCCCTGAAAAGCCAGGCTAGCTTTGAGAGTAGTCCTTGATTCTCCTTCGTGGTTTCTGTGAATGCACACTAATCAGTTAATTTGTGCCTGAGCAGAGCAGCCTCAGAAGCTTCTATAGCTTTAAGCACTTGGTGCCAGGACCTCCCCTACACCGGCTATATAACTCCGCCCCAGTACCTAGCGCCTCAGTTCTTTTTTCAACTGCCGCTGTAGCAGCAGCTTTGTTAGGAACTTCGCAAGTGAAAAACAATTTTATTCCTTATCTTTCCTTTCTTTTCACCTCCCTTGTTCTTTCTTCAGTAACAAGTTGTTTCCTCTGCCTGGAGGAAGAGCACCAGCCGGCGTTGTATATTCCTTGTAGGAGCTTTACAAAGCCGGCTTTGGAGCCCTCAGGGCTTTTCTCTCATTTTTAAAAAAGTTTCTTTTACCTTCTTAACAAGGCTACCTCTAGGGCTCAAGAGCAACAGCTATCCACCTCTTTCCAGTCTTCCTCTTTGTATCAAAGAAGAAGATAGCAGCATCTGAGCTAAGTCTGCAGAGAACTGGGTGCCAAAGCCGGGGATATCCCGGCAACATACGGTAGCCCTAGCTTTGCCCTTGGGAGAAGAAAGGGCCCCCTGCAGCTCCTGCTGCCTTCCCCACCTGTCAGTGATATTCCTGACTGGTGTAAAAACACCTTTGGAGGTTGGTAATTCGGTGCACAACAGCCCTCCTTCATCAATGGTCTCATTCTCACAGCTGCTAAGTCTGGAGAGAGCTGGGGGCCAAGGCCGAAGATATCCCAGCAACATACGGTAAGCCTTGGCTTTGCCTTTGGAGAAGGAAAGGGCCCCCTGCAGCTCCCACTGCCAGCCCCACCTGTCAGTGATATTCCTGGGGTAACACCTCTTTGGAGGTTGATGAATTGGTACGAAACAGCCCTCATTTATCAATGGGCTCGTTCACACAGTAGCCTGCAATCTCACCTCAGCCACCGGTGCCAGCATAGGCTCATAGGAAAAGGACTCATAGGAGTCAACCCAATCACAGGAATCCTGTGAGTGTCAGGCAGACCTGAGTATTTTTCCTGGTCATCAATAGGGTCCTATCACGCTGACAAGTTTGAGCAGGACCAGTCCTTTATTTCGGTATAGGAGCTATGATTCTTATCCGCCACCCTTTCTACCACCACTGCCTCCCCACTCTCTGGCACTGTTCTGAGCCACGGGCCGAGGAACGCTTTGTGCCTCCACCTACGCCTCGAAGGAGTAGTGCTCCCTTGAACTCGGCTCTGGCAGGAAAGTGCGACCGAACCTGCTGTTAATCCATTCAACCTTCTCTGTCCTGGTGGCTGTTCTTGAGACTGATCTTGGTTAGGCTCACGCTAAGAAAGACTTCTCCCCTAATCATCAGAAGGACTTACCATATTCAGGTTGGGACTCACCAGAGTCAGAGGGGGAGTAAGATTTATCCAACCAATCTTCCTACACCCATATCAGTTGCCGCAGATAGTCACCCTCCTTTACTGTTAGAAGGTTGTTTGTCGTATTCCCAACTGATACAGAGAACACAGATAAGGATATCTTTCATTGGTGTTTTTATTCTCTGGCCACCAATTACTCCGCTGCCATGGGTGCTTATCATCGCCACTTATGGAATTTGGCACTGCCCATTCTGCAGATAGCTCCTATGCACCTTTACAGCCAGGGCCCCTCGTATCACCAGGAGGCAATGGGATTGGCGCGTCGCAAGCACATTCCTTCTTGGCATGCCTTGAAACCAGCATCCAACCAACTGGCAGATCAAGGACCGTTCAATGGTGTAGGGCTTTTGGTCAGAAAACTGATATTATTCTTGATAACCTGCTCAGGAAGATGGCACGGTCATTTGCAGTGCAACAATCTCGAGTACCTGGAGTTGTTCCTACCAGCCTAGGGCATCCCTGGAACGTCAAAGGCCCCAACCCCAAAGTTACCAACCGCCGCCACCACCCCGACATGTGGGCGGGCAGAGTCCTGACCAACAAAACCAAAGGCAGGACCGCAAAACCAAGCAGTCTTTTTAATGCACCTGACTTCTCTGTTGTTGACCAATCAGTCTGTTTGACCCCTAGTCTTTCCAATTGGTGTTCCTTCACATCTAACAGTTCGGTACTCTCTGTCATAGCTCCCAGCTATGCCGCTGAATTTGATGTACCCCTTCTCGCAGCCACCGCCTTTGGAAGATGAAATTCAGGCCTTGTTAGGGAACGATGATATTGTTTCTTTGCACCATCCCCAAAAAGGATGGAGGCCTCTGGCCCATCATTGATCATGGAGGCCTGAATTCTTTTATTACAAAGATTCCGTATGGCTTCCTTGGACTCTGTTATTTACATGTTACACCCAGGGAGTTGGTTTAACGTGATTGAACTGTAAGAGGCATTTTCATACTAGCATCCGGTCAAACAATCAATGGTTTCTCAGGTTTTAAGTAGGAGGAATCACTGTTTACCCATGTTTGGATAACTGGCTCCTGGTCGCTGAGTCCAAGTCATAAGCTTGTAAGCACACGTCCTTGACACTGTCTCTTTTGTCAGCATTAGGACTAAAGGTCAACATACAGAAGTCAACTTTGCAACCTACACAATGTGTAATGCAGCTTTGGATGCTTTCTTGAAGCAGGCTTTTTTTTCCCTGATAAGATTGTGAAAATGCATGGTTTGTTCTGCTCCTTTTCTTCAAGCACTTGGTCCCTGCCCTACAGCTCCAGTGACTTCTGGGGCTGATGGCATCTACCACAGCTGTGAGACAGCATGCTCAACTGAGGATGTGGTCCCTTGAAGCCTGGTTTCTCTCACTCTTTCGGACATCTTGTTGACCACCCATCCACGTTGCTCCAGGTGACTCCGGAGCTTGCTGCACAACTGGACTGGTGGAAATTCCCCCAACCTATGGATAGAGAGACCCTTTGGTCTCTTGACCTGGATGGTTCAGTTAACTGTGGATGCCAGCCTGTCAGGCTGGGGGGCATGTCTGCGCCACCATGCTGTCCACGGCTGCTGGTCCACAATAGAAGCCAGCCTCCATATCAGTGTGCTGGACCTCCTGGCAATCACCAAGGCCTTCCGGGCCTTCAGCCCCTACTCTGTGGTCAGATGGTCCAGGTCGCATCATCTGCAGTTTATTATATAAACAAGCAGCGCAGCACTCACTTGTTATGCCTTCTCTTTCACACCATCAACTTTTCGGAATGGTGTTATGCTCGCCACATTTATCCGGTGGCTGTACATTTGGCAGGCGAGAACAATTCCGTAGCAGACCATCTCAGCAGACTACAGTCCTGCTGTCACGAGCGGGCTCTCGGTGATGCCATCTTTCGCCGCCTCTGTCGTTGTTGGGGAACTCCAGACATAGACGTTTTTGCATCCTGGATGAACACAAAGTGGGCCATGTTCTGCTCCTGGGACGGCATCGGCCGCAACTCCCTATGGGACGCCTTCCTGATGAATTGGTCATGGGGCCTCCTCCACGTTTCCACCTTTCCCCCTTTCCGACATGAGAGTGCGAATGTCATGCTTGGTCGCCTTGCCAGCCATGGCTCTTGATCCTGCTCTCGAGGGCTGCAGAATACATCAGGCTGCAGCTGGTCCCTCATCTACTGTCTCAAGACAGAGGTCAGGTATTTCATCCTTACCTCAAGTCCCTCCACCTGACGGCTTGGAGATTGCCCCGGCTGTAACAGACATGCTCAATCATTCTCTCAAACCTTCTACCACCTTGACCTACTCCTATAATTGGTAGGTGTTCTGTCACTTTGCATCAAGACTACATTCGCCTACTAGGCCAACATCTCTGGACGCACTCCTTCAGTTTCTCCTCCACCTGTTTTGCCTGGGACTGGCTGTTCTACCTGCAAGCTGTTTCTCCAAGGCCTGGAAAGTATGCGCCCTGCCTATAAGACCACTAATTAGTTCTTCAGCGGCTTATGAGGCCTCCCTTCAAGCCTTTCAAGCATCGCTCTGCTTGCTAACGCTCAAGACTGCTTTCTCCTGGTGATAACCTCAGCTCGCAGGGCTGGAGGACTGGCTATACTAAGAGCAGAGCCTCCTTTCTGCAAAGTAACCTTACGGCCAGACCTTGCCTTCTTGCCTAAGGTATTTTCTGCCTTCCATTTAAACCAGCCAACCAGTGCAACTGGGTGCACTAACTATCAATGGCCTCTGGTCCTCAGATGAGGTGACTCTCCATATCAACCACTTTGAACTCCTAGCATAATCAAAGCCTTTCAGACATTCGAGAGCCTCCGGATGGGACAGGTTGTTCAAATTGCATCAGACAACATGACTGCAGTGTTCTACATCAACAAACAGGGGCTTCCCCTGCTCTGCCTCACCATTGATCTCTGGGAGTGGTGCTATGCTCAACAAATCTACCCTGTGGCGGTCTATGTGGCTGCTGAAGGGAACATTCTAGCCAATTACTTGAGCAGACTCCAAGCTCCTTCTCACAAATGGGCACTGGACGACACAGTATTCCATCACCTGTGTCATCGTTGGGGCGCCCCCCACGTGGACATCTTTGCACCACAGATCAACAGCAAATGGAGTACTTATTGCTCCCGGGCAGGGATAGGTCGTCATTCTCAAGGGGACGCTTTCATGACCAGTTGGTCAAAGGATCTCCTCTACTGTTCCTTCCAATTCCCTTGGTGCAGAAGACGGTAGTCAAGATCCAGCAGGGCAATGTGGATGTCATCCTTGTTGCCCCTTGGTGGCCTCGCCAGCCTTGGTTTTCTGCTCTCCACGAGAGAGCGACACAATATATCCACTTGTCTCCAGATTCCCACCTGTTGTCTCAATATCATGGCAAGGTCTTTCATCCAGACTTGGACTCCCTCCACCTGACGACATGGAGGGTTCCCCTTGACAACCCAGGTTCTGAATCACACGTGTAAGCACTTCACTACTCTAACTTATTTTTACAAATGGAATGCTTTCTGTAAGTTTGCTTCTTCCCTTCCCTTCACTTACCTACCAGCCCAACTTCCCTCAACGCAGACCTCCGCTTCCTGCTTCACTTGTTTCATTCTGGCTTGTTGAATTCTACTCTGAAAGTGTACGTGGCTCTTCAAATGCAGCATCCCATTTTTGCCACCCTACATTAAAGCAGTTCTTGTGAGGGCTGAAGAATATGTGTCCGGCATACAAGCCTCCTACCCCACAGTGGTCCCTCCAGCTGGTCCTGAATTGCCTCACGAAGCCTCTTTCGTAAAGGAAGTCTCCACAACATCAGACCAGCTTCTAACCTTCAAAACCGCCTTCCTTCTTGCCTTCACGTCAGCATGTCAGACGGGGGAGTTGACAGCTCTAAGAGTGGACCCTCCATTCCTCCAGTTCCATCCTGGCAAAGTAACTCTGTACCCTGACCTCTCCTTCCTTCCCCATTTTTCATCTTATTTTCATCTAAACCAGCCAATTGTGCTGCCTACTTTTTTTCCAGCACCCACCTCACCTCTGGAATGGGCCTTGCACTCCCTGGATGTTAAACAAACACTCTCCTCTTTCTAGCCTTCCAGACACCTTGTGCTCGAGCTCTGGAAAGTTCTGAGGCTGCTCTACGCAGGCGTAGATTAACCTATTAGTGTGATTTCACAGGTGACCACTCGAAGAACCAGAGTTACAGGTAAGTAACCTCTTTTTCATCTCTAAGATTTAAACATTCTTTAAAAGTTTATTTTGTTAGCAAGTAAAAGCACTTTCATTCCTACAGGCATTTGATGTTTAATATCTGATTTTTACATAGCTAATTGGCATTACATTTGCTGCAAAGATATCCTTTTATTCTCTTTCTAAATGTTCTTATATTTCTTAATCTGTCTTGATGTTTTTAATGATTCTATGTTCAATAATAATTTTTAAATTGCTGTTTATATGTTGTTTTTAATTCTTGTTCTTTTAACAGACTCTCTGTTATTGGAAGTATCCAGGCAGAGGCTGGATAGCCATTTCTCAGGGGTGCTTTAGCTGTGATTTTCCTGCAGTGTTAGGTGACCACTGGGGTTTCTTCCACTTATGTGATTTTTATAGTTTTTTGTATATGGGATGGGCTAACATAGCCAAAACATTTAAAAAGTTGTTTTTTTTAAGAATTAACGTGAAGTTTAAGAAGCTGTCTTGTATTAAATGACACCACTATTGGGGAAGCAGCTTACCAATGCAAGATTTTAGAATGCTATTAGAACTATGAAGAGTTTACTATCAATTATTATGTCTCACAGGGAGAACCAGGAAGGACTGGTAGTCCAGGAACACATGGAGAAAAAGGTGAAAAGGGTGTTGTAGGAATTCCAGGTATCCCTGGTTCTCCAGGTGCCAAAGGGCAGCCAGGTCTTCCCGGTTCTCCAGGTAAGTGATTCAAAGCCTTTTCTTGTATTGTGTTCAGGTACTTAGGTAGCAATACTCAATCTTTGTTTTCTTTTTTGAAAGGTACTCCAGGAATCCCAGGTGGAAAAGGTGAAAAGGGATTCCCAGGCTTGGATGGTTTTCCAGGTTTGAAAGGACAAATAGGTAAAGAAACATTTTTGAAATAAAAACTATATTTTTAATCACTTAAAAAATTAAGATAATCTGCAGCATTTAATACTAGTTTTTGATTGCTTTTGTTTGTTTTTAAAAATTTAACTGTGTAGATTGGTAGGACCAAGCCACATCACCTTAATTCTGTAATTTTGGAAATTGTCATAAGATGTGTATGAAAGTTAATCACAGCCCAAGAAACTATGGCATCATACAAATCCAGTCATTCTGACAAATTGCCACTTCCTGCAGATGGAAGGACTGTATTATTCCTGTTACTGGTCTTGCCTTTCCCATACATTTTTATATTCTCTGTACCTTTACTTTTTCACTGGTTTCAAGGGCTGGCATCATTTCCTCCTTGCTCTGAAGCCCTCTGAGGGAACAGGATGTTAGATCTTCCCTGGCTTCCTCTCGGTCTGCAGAGCACCAAAGGCAAATCAACAAAAGCAGACCAGTTCTTGCCTGGGCCTCTGAGAGGAATTTCATTAGGAGGTACAAAGTTTCTTTTGGGGGGCCCCTTCTCCATTTTCTACTTTTAAGGTCTAATGCCCTTATACTCGCTCGTAATTTATCCCTCCAAAAAAATATAAATAAATTAAAATAAAAGAAGATCGGAGATGAGAAAGCACATTTGATTTGAACATCTTTGTTTATGCTACAATACATATAACAAAAAAATCACATTGAAACATCCTTTTTATTGCAATGCAGATCAGATCAGATGATCAGATCATCTTTAAAAGAGAAATAAACTTCCTATTTAAAAAGAGAGCTTTCCTGGACTTTTTTGGTGAAAACATTTGGATCACAACATGAAAATTAAATGTTTTGCCAATGTTTGATTCAATACTTAGCCTGGCTAAATCCACAAGATGTTCCTGAGACACTGTGGACCTTAAATAATTCTTAATTAGCTTAAGTTCGTTAAATGACCTTGTTATGTTGTGGGTCCAGAAACGACAACTGCTTCAGCATATGGTTCTTTATTCCAAATATGACATGACATACACAGGATACACATTCAATAAATACCCATAACTCCACCACCCCCCATCAAACCCTCGTCCACCTGTCTCTTACAGCTGTCAGAAACCTCCTTTAAAATGTCCAATACATTACACCCTTCCCCCCCCCAGACAAGATTGTACCCGTTTACAATCATAGTCTTGCAAATAACAGGGAGGTGGCCATACTCGCTGAGAATGTCTTAAACCATTATCTTCAGCCTGCCCATTGGGACCTAATTGTCACAAAAGGGTGACCACTAGATCTTTTGTATCCTGAGAAGAACAATATTAAACAGCAAAGGACCTCACAAGATACTTTAATAAATATAAAATGAATATACTTTATTACCTACTGAATACAATTCTGATAAAAGGGGTTTCACACATTCAACACATTCACACCACATACATACTCACCAAAGAGAGAAAAATTCTTTATTTGCATCGCCCAAGTTCCAAAAAAAAAAAAAGTTCCAAAAGCCTTTTGGTCTCAGCAGACAAATTATGGTTGCCCGGACCCCTCTTTTATATTCTTTTTAGGCAGGTTATAGCTAAGCATGTGTATTAGATGTTTATTTGTTTCCCCCTAGATATATGGTCCTTATCACCTATTGTGAAGTATGGAATGCTTAATAGGTCTTCCATCACTTAGTGGTCAGGTGTGGAATCTGCTTGCTCAGGAGGATCCTTGTACCAGGGTTTCTTAATCCCCTTTGCTCTACTCCCTCAGTTAGCAGCAGATGTTTTTGTCAGTTTACTGAAAGCATAGTTCAAAAAGCTCACAATTCAAGAGTTGAATTTCTCACAATAAGGGCTTATAGCCAGAAATACAAAGTCCCATAGTTCCTCAGGTTTTTGTTGGTCTCCATCTTTGTGTCCTAACTCTCTCTCTGTTTCTTCACCTTATCCAGGCCCAACATGCATACACTCTCTAGCCAGCCGGCAGAGAGTGTCTTTCACTATCCTTACCATTCTCAGTACCTGTCCATTAGTAGATGGGAGCTGATGTCACATGCCAAATAGCATTATTTCCCATAAACTGCTGAAATTCTGCTGACATGAACTGAGCCCCGTTATCTGAAACAATAGTGTCCGGCAAACCATGTGTCGCACAAAGCCTCTGAAGTGTACAAACAATAATGGTTGTGGATACTACCTCCAATCATTTAGAAAAAGCATCCACCACAATAAAAAATGCTTGCCCCTGAAAGGGACCAGCAAAAGCTATGTGGAGTCGGGACCAAGGGCCTTGTGCCACCTCCCATGGGTGGACGGGAGCCTGCGTTGGCAATGGTCTCAACTCCTGACACATGTGACAAGAATGAACCCATTCTTCAATGGTCTTATCCATCTTAGGCCACCAAACATAACTACAGGCTAGTGCCTTCATACGCACTATACCTGGGTGACCGACATGTTAGTGCCTCAAACACTTGTTGCAACCTGCTTGGAATAACAACTTGACTTCCCTACAGCAAACAACCTTTGTGCACGGAGAGTTTGTTTTGTCTACAACTAAATGGCTGGAACTCTCCCATCATTTGGCTCTCTGGCCATCCCTTCCACACCCAATTAAGAACATGGGCTAGCGTGCGGTCCTTAGCTGTGTGAGCTGCTACATTGGTAACCCACACTTGGGGCCGAAACAACTCTTCCAGTATTAACACATGGTGAGCTGGTGCCAGATCAACAGGTGGATCTGGCAGCAGGAGTCAACTGAGGGCATTGGCATGACCTAACACCTTACCCCGGCAGTGGCTCACATCATAAGAATAAGCTGACAAAAACACCGTCCACCACAACATTCATGGGGACAAAATCTGTGGGGTCTGTTTCTACAGAATTTCTCTTGTAAATTTCTGTGCAGCTTCTACACCTAAAATCTGTAGAAGCTCCTGGTTGTAATGTCATTGTAAGCTACCCCCATCTCCAAGGAGATTTAGGGGTGCCAGAGATGGAGAGATTTCGGAGTTTAGCCAGTCCTTATTAGCTAAGATGAGCCCAGTTTCTCAGCCAGGCCCTGACTAACACTCCTTCCTCAAGTCCATCCCCTTGGTTAAGAAAAAGCAACAAACACAGACAGTCCATGAGTTTACCCTCAGGCTAATCTGGGCTCTATATGGTAGCAAAATATTCGTGGCCAATTAGTTAGGCTAGTTTGTACAAGAGACCAATGCATGCAATCTTAAACATTATTGCTTTTATTCAGAAAGATAGTTCTAAACAGAATTCAGATTATAGCAAAACAATTCAGTCAGAAACATTTCCATATCAAGTCAGACAGTCCACCCCACAAACTCCAGCTAAGAAAAATAACACAAGAAAACATACTAAGCTAGAATTATGCATAGGCGTTGTCTTCCTTACGTATCCTGTGACTCCATAGTCCATCAGGAAAGGTTAGATTCCAGTTGTAATCCAAAAGTCCATGTTGCAAAAAAACTCCATTCAAAAGTTATAATCCATTTTGGGAAAAAGCACATGTCTGTCCTTTCTCAGTCAAACTCCATCTTTTTTTCCACTTCCACCAACTTCCTTCTTCTTCCCAGCATGCCTCATAAGGAACACCCCCTCCTGGGTCTTGTTGTCCCGCCTAACTTTCTCATGGGAGCTTGAGTTGTTATCATGTCTTGTGGCAGAATTATTATGACTACCAGGAATGTAACTCTTTGGCTCTCCTTAGCAACTAGATAACCAGAGAACGAAGCTTCTCTGACACAGCATGTAAAATTTTCCTACCACAGACACAGACATTAAATCAAGATGGATGCTATTAGGACAATCTTAGGACTACATATCCCATTCTAATACACATAAAAACACAAATCATCACAGTCGTCACAAAGCTGTGTCTTTTAATCTCTGGCAGTTCAACAGAATGCGAGGAAAGGGTGTGACACTCGCCTTGCTGATTGTTGCCCTTTCTGGATGCCCAAGCCGCTTGATGATTCCCCCTTTCAGCTCCTCTCAAGTAAGGGGCAGCATGACAGGCACTTTGCCACACTTACTGCATTGTACATTTTGGAACTGACATGCCTTCCTCAGATGGGGGCCCCCATAACCGGCACACAAATTTTCTGGTGATACTTTTACTCCTTGGCTCCTCTGATTGATGACTCACATTACAGCTTCTCCGTCCTCCTCCCTAGAAGAGCAGTCCTCCCACTTCCCTTGATGGACACTTTCCAGCTTACTAGTCTTTTCCTGTTGAATTTATCTTGTAAATTTCTGTGCAGCTTCTACAGCTAAAATCTCCTCATAAGCTGTTTTAAAATTTACCTTCCTTGCAAACAATCAATGTTGCATTTTTTGTCCTTTATGCCACAAACCCACCTGTCTCTCAACGCCTCCTTGAGGTCTGTGAAATTACAATGCCTTGCAGCTTGTTAAAGGACCATAACATAATTAGCTGCTGAATTGCCAGGCTCCTGGTCTTGCTTGTAAAAAGCATGCCGACAAGCAATCCCTGATGGTTGAGGTGAGAAATGGTCTTGCAGCTTGTCTGTGATGACTGAAAATGTGATGCTTTTTAACTGGGGTAGGAGCACACAAAGCTCTCACTATCTCAAAATCAGGCAGACCACAAGTGCTGAGAAATGTAGCTCTAACAGTCTCTGGTTCGTTACTTTGTTGGCAGCAAGGTATGAAACCTTTATATGTAAGTTTCACAGTCTGCAATAGATGGGTCAAAAGCCTTCAGATATCCCCTGGTAGCTATTTCCAGAGCTCGTCCTTTACTTCTGCAACAGTTAGCCCACAGACAGGTAATTAATTCAGTCCAGCATACCTTCTGCAGGCAAGCAAAATCCCATCCTCGTCGCCAGTGTTAGGTTGTGGGTCCAGACACGACAACTGCTTCAGTATACAGTTCTTTATTCCAAAGATGACATGACATACACAAAACACATATTGAATAAATACCCATAACTCCCCCCCATCAAACCCTCTAGGCATCACCTCATTACAAAGGTCCACCTCTCC